TAATACATAAAATTTTTAAATATGTTTGATTAATTCGAAATTTGTTCGTCCGAACTCGAAAAAAAAAATCTAAAATATAAAAATATTATGTAAATATATAAAAAATAAAATAAAATTATATTAAATTAATGTTCACGAACATAATCGAACGTTCACGAACGAGCTCGTGTTCGTTCGATCATTAAACGAGCCTTATTTTTTTGTCGAACTCGGCTCGATTAACAAACGAACGAGCTTTTGTTCGCGAACGTTCGGTTCGTTTACAGCTCTATGTACACCTCTATGTACAATATTATATACCTATAGCATTTCTCAGTTTTGATAGGCCTTACTCAATGTGAGTGTTATATACACCCCTATGTACAATATTATGTATCTATATCTATACCTATAGTATTTTTCAAAAAAAAAAACTAAAAGACTAGAGAAATACTAATTTCAACGAACACTTACAGCCAGGAGGACTTTGATTTCTTGCTTACGGGACTTGAATGCTATTTATTACACGTAGTTGTTAGTTCATTTTGCATTCATCGTGAGAAATTTAATTATCATTTATGGCATGATTGGTATGAAGGAATGACATGGGAATGGAATGATCATTTCCTTATTCATTCCTTATTCATGATTGGTATATTTTTTGGAATGACCATTAATGGGAATGACAAAACCCATCTCCATGGGATTAGCCATTCCATAAAAAATGGAAAGTTTTTTCATTCCCATGTATGTAGGAATCAATTTTCAAAAAATAAAATTAACAAATAATAATAAAACTATAATATATATTGTAAATCATGATTAAAATATATTAAATGAAATTCAAATAAAAAAATTGAAAACTTACTTTTATTTATTTTTTAATTAGATATATTAAATACTTATACAAAAATGAAACTAAAAAAAGCATTATATATAATTAAAAATATATTATTTTATTTTTATATATTATTAAAAATATATTATTTTTTATATATTAAAAATATATTTTTTTTGAAAATATATATATAAAATTGAAAACTTACTTTTATTTATTGTTTAATTAAAAAATAAATATATATTATTAAAAATATATTACTTTTATTTTTATATATTATTAAAAATATATTAATTTTAAGAATATATTATCTTTTATATATAATTTTAAAATATATTATTTTATTTTTATATATTATTAAAAATATATTATTTTTTATATATTAAAAATATATTATTTTATTTTTATATATTATAAAAAAGCATTTATATATAATTTATTAAAAGTATATTATTTTAAAAAAAAAACTTTTATTTATTTTTATAATAAAAAATAATAATGTCATTCCATTCAAGTCCTATTCCTTCTGCATACCAAACGCATCAATGACAAAACTTGTTTCATTCCGTTCCCTTAATCATTTCATTATTTAATTCATTCCATTCCTACGAAATTCCATTCTATTATACCAATCATGTCATTTATTATGATTGAATTTCGGGCCCAAATTGGACCTCCGCTTCAAACATCATAGATTTAATTGAGAAAATTACCTAGTCAATCACTCAATATCATTTTTATTGTATACATACATATACACTTTATATATAATTTTTAGTAAAATAACTAAAATTATAATCTATTTGCATAAATATTAGATGGTCATTAAGCGGATTTAATGGAGATTACATAGAAAGACCAAAACTGATTTTCACATTTCATGGCAGTAACTCCCACCCCAAGTCTAATTATATCCTTATTCAGCCGCAGACTCGTCCACCATCAACGCCGCTGCATCCCCAATTTTCCCGACGAGGAAGAAGGCCAAGCCCAGGTGGTCGGGTGCTCGCTCGATGGCAACATGAATGGCTAACAACAGTTCGCTCAGCACGTTCACTTCACCGACCAGCCAGCTTTGTCTCCCCTTATCAAAAACGGTCCCAATGACGTCGTGATTGCGGCGTATTCATCTTTCGACACTTTCAATCGCGGTGCCGCTGCGTCATGGACGAGATTGAAATTGACGAAGATATTGTTAAAAGTAATGACCCAACTGAAAAAAAATAAAAAAAAAATTGAATGACAAAATCAACCAAGTTGGCATTTATAAGAAAAAAAGTCAAAGCTTAACGATGAGTGTCAAATCTTGTACAAGACTGATGCAGGATAATATCTATTATTTTTAGTATTAGAATATTTGGTAGTTTAATTAATATCTATTATTATTATTATTATTATTATTAGCATATACTATTTATTTGTTATTTATGTTTAGTCTTGGTGAGCAAGTTACTGTTAGGGTTTAGGAGCTTTATATAAAGGACTCCTCTCTTTTGTTATCTTGAGTTGATTTTTGAATGAAATAAGATTTGTGAGTTTTATCGAGAGAGTATTCGTTTATCCTTCCCACTCGTACGCTTCCCTACATCAGTTGGTATCAAAAGTCAGCACAATTCACGATGCTGTCGCGAAGACAAGATGCTGCAAACGACAGGCGTGTCGCCGCCATCTACAGCCTGAGCCGCCGGACCGAGTGGTTTGGCCGCGACCTCGAGATGATGGGTCGTCAGATTGCGAATCTGTCCGCGGAGATCGGGGACATATGTCTAACTATCCGTATCATGGATCGGGACAAGCAAACATACCGTGACGCCGCCAATCGGGGCGTGTGCGGGGAAATTTTCGGAGGACGTGGAGGCCGTGATTCAGGTGGGGCACCCCGCCGGAGATCTCCACAACCACCGTCCGGCGATGAGACAATCTAGGAGGTGAATCCCTTCGACGATTTTTCAACCCTGCACGTCGAGACTGACCCCTTCACTGCATACGGCGGTCGTGATATGCGGCGACGGGGCTCGGTCTTCATGGATGACGACGATCAACGCGACGATAGAGGCAGGGGCGAGGAGGCTGCCTTCGCCAGCGGATATCGTGCTCGACACGATTGGGGACTTGATCGCGAATATGGTCAATGGGAGGGTCCGTTTTGCGTTGATATCTCCGAATTCGACAGTGAGCAAGTTGACGGGCCATTGTACGACGGTCTGCCAATTTTCGATGATGAGCCTCCGAGGCCGAAAGAATTCCTCATGGAGCCTCTGATTGATGTGGACATTACGAACATGGAGAAATGGAGTATCACGAGCATGTGCGACGCCATGCGAGTCATCTTGACAACCTGTGATAATCATATCGTGACCTCACAGGTATTTGGTTACGTTCGACAATTTGCAAAGTTAGGAATTGCAGCGGTTCTTGTGGTTTCTTCCGAGAGATTGTTTGTTTCGTGCCTCGTTATCCCCGCCGAGATTGATGTCGAGTTTCACGATGTTGTTGTCCTTGAATACGTGAAGAAGGTTCTGGAAACATTGGTAGTTTATCTGTTGCGCAGGCCCGAGCTTTTCTCCCACGAGCATTTGTTGCGGCCTTGCAAACAGATGCGACATTCAACGTTCGTGTTCGACAGGGGGAAAAACCAAGTGATTGTTGCCATGGGTATGACTCTTCACGCTGGCAACGAGATCGGGTCGGATTCGAGGGCGAATCCTGCTCAACCGGAGAAGAATGATGCAGGATAATATCTATTATTTTTAGTATTAGAATATTTGGTAGTTTAATTAATATCTATTATTATTATTATTAGCATATACTATTTATTTGTTATTTATGTTTAGTCTTGGTGAGCAAGTTACTGTTAGGGTTAAGGAGCCTTATATAAAGGACTCCCCTCTTTTGTTATCTTGAGTTGATTTTTGAATGAAATAAGATTTGTGAATTTTATCGAGAGAGTACTCGTTTATCCTTCCAACTCGTACGCTTCCCTACATCAAAGACTGCCATCATAATATTTTTTGTATATGTTGTTTATAGTCATTACATTTTCAGTATATGTTGTGTTTTTTATTTACATACCATTTTGTTGAAGAAGTTGAATTTAACATGGACGTTATGAAAATTGATGAAGATGTCATTGAAAGCAATGACTCGANTGACAAAACGACCAAGTCTGCAAGTATAAGAAAAAAAGGTCAAGACTTAACGACGAGCGTAAAAATCTTGTGCAAGATAGGCATTAGAATACTTCCAGTATATATTGCATTTATAATCAGTATATTTCAGTATGTGTGCGTTTTTATTTACATAACATTTTTCCGACTAAAAGAAAAATGAATGACAAAATCGACCAGGTCGACAATTATAAGAAAAACAGGTTAAGGCTTTGCGAAGAGCATCAAAATCTTACGCAAGACGGACATTAGGATAATTTCAGTATATGTTGCTTTTATAGTCAATATACTTTCAGTATATATTGCGCTTTTTAATTACATAACATTTATCTGTCCCTCCACCGGATCGGCTACCTTGACCCCGGTCCCTCCACCAACCCCAACATCTCCGGCGACCTGAAGTCCGCAGTCTGCTCATACGAGAGAGAGAGAGAGAGACAGAGAGAGAGAGAGAGAGAGAGAGAGAGAGAGAGAGAGAGAGAGAGAGTTGTTTAGGGATGATTTTTTTAATGAAGTTAAACTAATTAAGAATGTGAGAGGGAGCATTCAATTACGAAAATTAAAGAACCTACACATTTTGTTTTGGTAACTGATATTAGGCATATTCATAGTTACTTGATATAGAGTCAATAATAATACTAAAAAATTAATTGGATTGCATTTGTGTAATATTTTTTAAATCATAGGGCATGTTTGTAAATGAGCCATTTCAATTCTTGTTAAATTCCAACATGACCCATTCATCATTTTTTGTGACAATATCAAGTTAAGAAGAAACAATACAAGTTCTTACTAACTTTATTGAATTATTAAACAAGAGCAGTCTATGTGATACTTTATTTGGAGAAAACTGCATTTGAACTTTTATTAATCAAACAAGAGTACTTCTGCTGATACTTTGCACAAAATACATTTTCAAATGCTTAAAGTAGTCTTGGTGATGTTCTATTTGCAGAAAATACATTTTAAAAAATGACATGGTTCACATGGTAACCCATATGGAGTTGCTTTTTCTTCTCATATTATTTACTTTTCCTAGCTAGAATAGTGATGGCTTTACTTTTAAATGAGAGTATTCCTCTGCATTCGAAATCTAATCATAGCACAAATATTAGTGAGAACCAAAATCTTTCCACTTGAATCTCTAGTGATCCAAAGGATCACAGTCGGAGCAAAATAGCAATAAAATCTTTGCACCCATCTCGTTTCATTACTTCCACAATACACAAACGAATAACTAAAAATTTCAATAAGAGAAGACCATCTGATAATATTGAACCGTTTTTTCCATATTACAAGTAAGTTTTCTGACCAGAATATAGTCGAAGGCCAACGACAAAAACGCAACTTTCTCTACTCTCTTTGTCTTCGTGATCAAGGTTAAGCACTGTCACACTTACGTCTTCAAAGGAGCTTTCTTTTCTCTGTCAGAAATTCGAGCAGGTGCATTTGAGTGTGATTTAAATCGCCCCCTACCTCCATCTTCTCTCTCCTGAAAAAAAAAAAAGAAACAATTTTTTTTTTCATCATTCTTTACACTTAAGAGTTAAGAGGGTTTTAGATTAAATTTGTTGTTTAAGCAATAAAAAGGTCCGATATATATGAGGAACAACTCCAGCATACTAACTTATATCAAATAGAGAGATTGTAATTTTCCATTTATTATAATATAAATTCTTATGCGACATTTTTATTATCACAAAGAAGTTTGGTATCAGAGGAACAAACATACAAAAGTTTAATAAAATAAAACAAAGTAAAACACAGCTCTCTACCAGGAGCAAATAAAATGGAAAGGGCTAAAAAAAAGTACCTTTTTCTTGACAATCTGAACAACATCCTCATCTTGAAGACCATGACTAAGCCCACAGTGCTGTGGGTAGTGCCTTGCGCTTGTGCCCCACACCAACACATACTTAACGTTGTTTACAAGTGTCCGGTGAATGTGGTTACAAAAGTCCTCCACAGTGCAGCCACCTCTACCCTGAAATGAAGATACAAAACAAAAATTCATCAAATATTTCGAATCATAAATAACAAATCAACCGTTACTAACTTGAAAAAATACCCTTAAATAAATGAAGGGCAGAAAATAAATCCTGGATATTTATAGAAAACAAATCAAGGGCAGAAAAAGTTCAGGTCCTGAACTTCAAGGGTGGTTGTAAATAACCCCAACAACAAAACAAATCCCAAAAAGAAAAAAAAAAATAAAAAAAATACTTTGAGCAAACTGGACAAGATTACTTAGATAACATACAGCGGAAAGAACGACTGGTTCTTCAAAGTCTGGTTGCTGACCCTGAGGCTTCGTGTAAACCCTAACAAGACCCATCTCATCCCACATTCTGGCAAGTAATCTGTCCAGATTCAGCTGTCAAACATCAATGAAAACCAACATGACATTAGCATGTGCAGAGAGAATACAAATGAATTGAATTCTTATTCATCTTTCTGAAATTAATATTTCATTCTTGTACCTTCAGGTTGCAGCTTATGACAATCGAATTAGGCTGCCGTGCTAACCTGTCAACGTCATCGATACCGATGACATCTATTTTGTTGTATACATAAACACACTTTATGTACTTGCGGTTGCCCTCGATTACATCAATGAGGTCATCCACTGTTGCATCTTCACGAAACAAAATCTGCCAAAAGTTGATTTCGATTTTTTAAAGGGATTAATGACCACCGGAAATTTTAGGGCATGATTGGATATGGGTTAAACAGGTTATGATCCAACTCGATGAGTGAAAGTGAGTTAAAGTGAGCTATTTTGAATAAAGTAGATTTGAAATTAAATAATATTTAAAATGTAATGATTAAAGTTGATGTGATGTAAAAGTATGAGAGAAATTATAGTAAGTGATAGGTAGTTAAGATTATGTGAGTAGATGAATAGTGAATTAGAGTTGATGTGATGTGAGAGAATGATTGGTTGATATTATTTAATTATATTTATAAAAAGTAGGAGAATTATTTTTTGTTGGATTTTGAGTTAGGTGATTGGATATGAAATGACTCAACTGGTTATAACCGGTTGAGTTGGATCATAATTCATATCCAATCCCGCCCTTAAAGTCTTAACCAGTCACAAGTCATGTATAAAATTGCACAAACGGATTAAAGCGAAAAAAATATTATCTTGATCAGAGAATACCTAAAATGGAACAAAGTGAGTCCCTAAACCTAGTAATTGATCAAACTAACACTAGAATGTATTCACACACACACACACACACACACAAAGAGTCAGAGACAGAATACCTCTGCATTGTGAATCTTGTACTCATGTAATATCTGGTAGCAGAGCTTCTCATCTATATGCGTCAATGGTAATGTGCTATTGAATGAAATTCCCCCAGTTTTTTTCTTTTTAAAGTATATCTGTCATCCAAACCACAAGCATTAATGAAACAAGTATGTGTCTATATTCCGAGGAAATATGAACTATTACTATGTAAAATGATCCCAGACCAGTTTTCATTTTTCTCAGGCTACTATAATTTCCATTACTAAAATCGCTTTAATTACACAGTAATACTTCTTTATGTAGCCCTATGTATCTACCTTACACTATCCAATGCTTGGAACATTGTATAATCTGTGGAAATGCTTGCAAAGTTAACATTCCAGGTTACCATCTCCTTACCATGTGACTCAACTTAGATACAAATACAAAATTAGAAAATGACATAAAAGAAAGGCTACATGAGTTGAGAAGATGCTGCAGTTGTTTCACTCAGTGTTGAAAACTTTGGGGACACTATAAAAGCCCCACCAAGCATATACCGGTGGATAGCTAAATCCTATGTTCCTTCTGTTGTTTCGGTAATAAACTAATGGATTAAAAGCACATATATTGTACAAAATGATCAGGACCATGATATTCCAAATATATCATGCTATAATACACAGTAATTCTTGCAAGTAATGATCTTTATTTGAAATTTTAACGTCTTCTTAAGAAGCATATCCAATTCTACATCAAGCTAGTAAGATTGTCTTTTTCTGGAAACTCCCCCAGCAACTACTCCCAGGCAGTGATGTAATTTCTCACCCAAGTTTTAACAAGTCCAAGAAGAAATATGAAGGAGAGAAAACCGCAACAAGAAATGCTTACCTGAGGTGGTCTTTTGTTCAAACGCAACCCAACAGCTTCCAATTCCCGCGTTAAGATTTGCCTATGTCCTTCGCTCTAGAATTATGGACATAATTAGAATTTGAACCAAAAAAAAAAAAAACCCTAAGAGAAAAGATAGCAAGTAATACTCATCATCACACTCAAACCAATTCAAAAATATTAGAAATTTCGTGTGGACTATCAAATCAGGCTGCTAGGCAAAACCCTAATCATGCAAAATTTGAAAGGTGAGGCACAGGCAATGACCAGATTAATGCAAATGCCAAATGAACAACTTTTTCTCTCTTCAAACAAATAATACATGCATTGGTCAACCAAAACATGGAAGCGGCAGTGTAACATTAATGTGAGACCCAGTCCACGTTGAATTTACATCAATATAATCAAGCAAGAACACGTGGCAACAATTTTCTTCAGAACATTGAATAACCAGGAGCTTAAAATATTGATTTGTTAATCTTCTCATCAGCATTAGTCCTACGATACTGGTGTTGTAAGTTATGGGAGTATCATAACTTTATCTTGGAGTATATTGACAAAATGTATTTATGCGTCTTATCAGGCTATTAACACATCTAATGTGTTTCACATGGATCTTCTAGCAACAGCCCTCACAAACAAATAACAATCCTGACACTTCCTAATATTTCCTAGTGAATCAAGGCACAAAAGGTGATGTTTGCAATTACAACAATAACAACAACAACAACAACAACATACCCAGTATATTCCCAACAGGTTGGGAGTCTGGGGGGTCAGTTGTACGCAGACCTTACCCTTGTAATTATACAAGGAGGCTGTTTCCGTAGCGACCCAAGGTGCATTGCGTCGTTTGATATATTTTTTTTTTTCCTAGAAACTTCACTAATAGAAGAAGCACTAGAATTTAATTGAGCCATTTTGATATAGTCCATTATTAGCACTATGCCAGGAGAATTGTCAACAATGACTCTTCCAGCTCCATTTGCAATTACAACAATATCTCCAAAAAAAAAGATGACTCAATTTTGTGAATGGGTGTGATCTGCAAATTCCAAAATCTTTATCACGTACTTCTGTTATTCACCAGTACATCAGAACTATTACTTACTTTAGAGGCATCAAGAACCATCAAGACAAGATCTGATGATTTGGCAACTGCAATAACCTGAAAAATCAAGAAGCTTCTATTAGGGATCTTATCCTCGTTGCAGATATTCACCTACACCAAGAATCAACTTTTAGTAGCAACATTTGTTATAAGGAAAGAAAAAAGTGTACCTGCCTACCACGCCCCTTTCCTTCAGAAGCACCTTCGATAATTCCAGGAAGATCAAGCAATTGTATTTTAGTATCATTGTAGTGAATAATACCCGGGATACAGGTAAGTGTGGTGAATTCATATGACGCAGCTTCTGAATGTGTTCCCGTCAACATAGTCAAAAGTGTTGATTTTCCAACACTGAGATGGAAATAATTGCAAATCTAAGTTTCAAAAGGAAATAAGAAAACAAAACAATGAGTGACATTGATATTATACGCCGAAAAACAATCCCATGACTGACCAAGATTGACATGATAATATCAGAATGACCACCATAAAAGTACAAAACAAAAAAGTATCACTCAACAATAAAAACCAGAATTATTATATTATTTCTGTGTTATTAACTATTAAAACCAAGATAAGGTTCAATGGTTCTAACAGAAGACATGATAATATCATAATGACCACCATAAAAGTACAAAATGAAAAAGTATCGCTCAACAATAAAAACCAGAATTATTAGAGTATTTCTGCGTTATTAACTATTAAAACCAAGATAAGATTCAATGGTTCTAACAGGAGATCTACTTTCTCCCCGCCCCCTCCTTTTTTTTTTTCCTCTCTCCTAACATAGGAGTCCTAAAGCAATGACATGGCCAACCTGGGAAAACCAATCAGAGCAACACGTCCGTGGCCAAATTTTGTGACTTCAAAGCCATCCCCAGCTCCACTAGAACCCTGATACCTCACGAAATAATGGTTAGAATACATCACCGAATGCGTTTGAGTAACCAAACCTGAAAACTAACTAGTTACACGACTTTATCTGAATGATTTCCATGCAAAACAATTCAGATTAGCTACTGATATCATTTATCAGCTAAAATAAGAAATAGCATAATAAGAAGCATACTTTTGGGGGCTCCAACAGTTGTGTCCTCAGCTTTGCTATTTTAGCCTTGAGCTGACCCAAATGATACTCTGTGTATATCAAATCAAAGAAAATGTCAGTACAATCCGGCATTAAACTTCAATAGAGGATCCAAATGAAAACTATCTTAGTTACTAAATCAGCACTCTGACTAGCTACAACAACTGCAGGCAGATAAAACCCAATCCAATCATGAATTCTATTAACATTGCATAATTTTCAACTCCAATTTCAAGTCTCATGTACGTTAACCACCAATTGATATTCATCCTAACAACAGTTCAGACAGACAATACAAACACAACATAAAACTATCAAAAAAGTTAAAAAAAAAATGGGGAAGAAGAAGAAATCAAAAGTCACCAGTGGCTTTATTTTTCTGAGTGCGGGCCATTTCCGCCTCGATTTCCTTGATCCTTTCGACGATCCCCATTGTCCTTAAATATTCACCTGAACGAGAGGAAAGACGAGCAAAGGCTGCAAGAAAAATTCATACAAATCAGGCAAACGAAATAAGATTACAAGCATATGCGGCAAAGACTGATAGAACTTTTACTTCGATTGATGGGCAGACACGGACGAGCAGGAGATTGATTTANAAGTATATTTTCGGTATAAATATTCGCGTTTGGAAAAATTGTTCTCTCGAAAAAAAAAAAAAAAAAATAAAATAAAATAAAAAAAAAAAACAAAATTATTATTTAGGGATGTATTCATAAAACGTTTTAAGACTTTACAAATTTTCGTGTATTTAATTAGGATTTTTTAATAATCTTGAAAATTGATTTTGGAATTTAAAAAATGTTACAAAAATAATATTTAACTTATTTGAGATTAATATTTGTTAGGACTTTTTAAAATTGATTTTTTCTAAAGAAAAAACCTTATACAAAATATCATTCCAAATTCTACCTCCAGACTCAAAATTCTTCAAAAATCTGAAAATCTTAAAAAATCACAAATCTCAAAAAGTCTCAAAATATCACTCGAAATATCACACGAATACACCCCCCATATTTCACGTTAATTATAAACAAAAGAACTCTCGAAAACTAGATACATTTCGAAATGATCAAATTCGATTACTTTCGGAATTTATAAGTTAATTTAATAGGGTGTGGGATTATACATTATCTTTAAAATTGGGAATTATGATACACTTTTCGTAAAAAGACAGCTAGTTTTTAAGGGTACAAATAGGACGGTATAAATAGGACATATATCGGTCAACCAAAACTCACCAGCTAGGCACATCACGCATCCGAATATGTACAAAATTAATACATAAAAAAATAATAATTTTTTTACCAATCAACTCGAGATGACGATTCCATGGGGACACATTAAAGATATCAAAAGAATGACCCGACCTATGATCAAGCTGTGAATTATTTGTATGTTTCAAAGGACATCCGAAGCTCAACCAGACAAAAATATTCGTGAAATAATATTTCATGATCAAGAGGTCTGTGTATTTATATTATTATATTTCAATCGTATTATTTCTCATTGATTTCAATTCGTGTACTAACACAAGTTTATGATTTGTAGGGTGGTTGGATAACTGGTATTATTCGACCGATCAACATTACTCATTTTATCAATGATTTTGAGGAGGATTCGGTTAATTCAATCAAAAACTACCAAGTTGAGAGCAATATTCTCCTGTACAAACCAACTATTGCCACCTATCGAATCATCATTTACGGTTAAACTAAGCAATATAAGTTCAGTGGTGAATTTCTCATCTATCGATTTGACTTTAGAAGCTTTTCAGTTGACTTACGTCGATAATCTTGATGAATCAATATTTTTTGGTAAGTCAACTTATTTAAATTGTTCGAGTTTCAAATTTATGTTTTATCGAGTTTACGTTTATATAACATGAGGCCATCTTACTAATCAAAACATTAAACCCTGACTTAAAAGGATAAATGGAGGTTTGATAAGAAAGGGCAATTCACTATGGCTTCATCTGAAAATCAGCTTATCTGTGCGACAATGTTGCAATTAGACTTGATTGAATGTAGCTATGATGGAAAATGCATTCTAAACTTAAGAAACAAAAGCTGGAATTTGCAGTTGAAAGGTATACTAAAGCACTTTGTATGGAAATACTTTTTTGGTACCCTTCTTGTTTTTGGCAATCTGGAGAAGAAACTAGAAACTACGGAACGGAACATCTTTTATTATCCTTTACTACAGCTCGAATGGTGTTGGGACTAGCACTTGTGCAGTGGGATGACTTACAGCAAGAATCTCACTTCTGCGGCTGGTGGCAGAAGTTATGCTCCCTCAAAACAGATGTAGTCTAGCGTAGGGCTGCAAACGAGTCGAGCGGCTCACGAACCGCTCGAGTCAAAGCCCGATTTGAGCTCGAGTTTGACCGAACTCGAGTCGAGTTCGAGCGGCTCGAGCACGAACTCGAGTCGAGCTCGAGCCCATATTTTGCATTGTTGAGCGGCTCGATATATATATTAAATTACTAAAATACCCTATATATATTTAAATGGTATAACACAAGTGTTTAATGATAATTTCACTTAAAAATTTTCGAGCCGAGCTCGAGCATTCGATTTCGAGTCGAGCTCAAGTTCGTGTATTTTCTTATCCAGTCGAGCTTGAGTCTGATAAATCGAGCTCGACGAGCTCGAGCTCGAGCAGCTAAAAAAAAAAAAAATCAATCCTACTTGATAGGGCTAATGCTCGACTCCGCTCAGCTCGTTTGCAGCCCTAATCTAGCGCTCTACCTTTATCCTCTGTTCACTATGGAAGACTCGAAACCTGTGAGTTTTTCAGAATCATGGACACCAAAGAAGACCATCATTGATTCAGCTCGGAGAGTAGAGTGAATTCAAAACTTGTAACTTGTTCTGACTGGTTTTGGCGACAACTTTTGTCTTCATCTAGCTAGGTTTTTCTAGTTCAATTGTTAGATGGTGCTTTTAATTTGTTACTTTGTTTTGTGGGCATTATGATATGTTAGATAAAGGTGACGGGCTAATGTGCTACCTTTAGTATGGTATCAATAGTTTGGTCTGCTCGTCTTAGTTCTAGACTACCTAGTGTGGTCTCCTTGTCTAGTGTTTGGGCCTATTTAGACTTTCGCTTTGTACAAGCAACAATTTTTGGAAAGAGTACCTAGTGTGGTCTCCTTGTCTAGTGTTTGCTAGTCGTGGCCTATTTAGACTTTCGCTTTGTACAAGCAACAATTTTTGGAAAGAGAAGTACCTCTATTGTGTCGGAAAAAAAAAATATTAATCACCTAATAACCACATGAAAACTTCATCAAATTTCAATGGCTTTGGGGCCAAATTACAACAAAATGAATTTAATGCAAAGTTTTTCAACTCGAAATAGCCTGATGGGTCGATCCCGAGTCGGGACCGGTCTTGATGGGTACTTCGAACCGTGTGACAACAGACCGAGTCAACCCATCCCTGGCCCAGTCATCGACCCCATCGAGTCAACCTTGTTTGACCCGATCTCTATATTTTTTTTAAAAAAATAAAATACGTATATAAGTGTTTATATTATTAATATTTAATATGAGATACAATATTTTTAACACTTTGATTGACAAAATTTATATACAATACATTTATTTATGTTACTTTTATGTATATTGGTACGACAAAAATATTGTATACATAATTTTAAATGATTAAAATCAATTATTCGATTCAGCACTTGACTCAGTGACCTAAAGGCTTGTTCGTGTCCATTTCCGAACCAGGTTAAAAAATCATAACCTAAAATACAATTTTTGCTTTTATTAGGACTAAATTTCCAATACAATCGATGTTGTTAAACCAAATTTGCAAATTTGTCATTTAAGATGCACAAAAACAAATGCACACTGAAAATAAAACAGTTTTTCAGTGCAAGGAATCAAGAGAGTCGCATTTTTAGAGATTTCATTTTTCTATCCAAAGCTTCAAGGATCCGCAATATATCAGTACTAACTAGTAACTAGTTTTATTTTCACGTCTAGTTATGATATAACCACAATAATAAGATCATGTTCTAGCTCTAAATCTTCATGGTAATGGATTTATGTTACTATTTTTTTTTCTTATAATCTAATGTCAACGTAAATTTCAATTGAAATCAAGCCGGGCCTTAGTAAAGACATAATTCTACCACGATGCCATATAAAGAAGAGTCGAAGACTACAGACATGCCACCACCATATGTCCAAGAGTCTCTGTATATAATCAGACGGTATCAAAAATAACAAAAAGTAAACTCGTTTATCAAACTGAACAACATTGCAACGTACCAACATCGGCAATGTAGTAGTTAGTTTTTTTCCTTTGCATCCCCATCAAAGTTTCATTAGTCACATTAAAAAATAAAAAATAAAAAAGAAGAAAAATTTTATGTACATTCAAAGTTCACAAAAACCTCAACTCCTTTTGTGCATAGCATTATTGAAACAAGAGATCAACGTTAACTGCCCGAGCTAAGGATGGGTGTGACATGTGTTTGCGTATCAGCAAGTTCTCTCACACGGGACAGAATTGGAGCAGGTATTGGAAGCGAAGCTTGTTTTCGAGCACTCGGGATCTGTTTCATCATACCCCAGCAAAATCAGCTTGCAGAACAATAATATGTTACATAACCATAAGAATTTCTCTGTAAAAAATAGCCTTAAGTATTTTATCACCAAAAAAAGGAAACAAAAAAGAAAAATAATAATAAAAAAAAAAACTATCTAGAAATATAGATATTTGATTACCCAGGAACTATAACCTGCAAAAACTACCTTTGAAGCTTAACATAGTTATCCCAAAAAATATTCAGTTATCTACCGAACATATATATATATACATATATTCACCTGGATTGCACTACTTGAAATATTACAGATAAAACACAGTAGGTAAGGTAGCTTTGAAGTAGTTAAAATCTCAATTTATGTTTACTTTGTACCCAAGTGAAAATCGATTCATAATAGATGCATCAGGGTTACCGGCCACAAAATAAAGAAACAAAAACATCTCTCAGGAATATGTGCATTGTTTATTATCATGGTGAATTTATTAAGCAGAAGATATAAATAAACTGTGATAAGAAAGGATAAGATTAATAGTCATTCCATCAAATAAGTCCACAACCAATGACATAAATAAATAGATGATAGTCACAAAAACTGCCCTGCTTGACCTGATTTTGTTTTCCTTTTCTTTTTCCTTTAAAAAACAACACCACACCACACTTTTCCTGCATTATATAGAACCCCCAGAAAGCTAATACTGGCTTTTCTTTAGTTAGCCTTAAGCCTCGAAGCTATTTTTAAAAATGTACCCAAAAATAATGCATCATGTTCTGAGCATCATGATAGAAAAATAATGGAAATCATGTTCTGAGCATCACGAGAAAAAAATTAATGGATAGCAACATTCTGGATAAAATGGAACTGCCAGAGTAGGGAATTGGAAATTTGACTTTGAAAAAAAAGGCATCTAACCCCATTTCCAGTTGGCGATTCGGCAAGGCTAGCCTTTAGTAGATTCCTCCATTTGTCCTGCATAATAATTGCACATTTTTAATTTAATATAAGTGAGCAATACCAACTTTATAATTCAATGTACTAAGTTTGATAGCCTGGTTTTAATTAAATAGTTGAACACCAACCTTCAAGTCAACAGAAGTCCGGTAAGAATATGACGAGAAGGCAACACGTTTGATCTCAGACCATCTACCAGCACCATATTTGGCAACTCCTTCAACCAGCTTAACAACTTCACTAAGAGACCAAGGCCGATGATGTTTCCTCCTTATTCCTCCGTTTGCAGTAGGAACAGTAACTACTTCATCGTCTGAACTAGTCTTATATGACCTCATTTTTTTGCGTTGACTGTCCCGTTTAAGCTGAATTGTTTTCTTCTCCATGTAAAACTTGCGTTTTTCTGAAGATGCAAAGACCTAAGCACAAAGATTTCCAAAATGTTTACCAAGTTAGTAATCGAATAATGAAAAAATAAAAATAAAAATAGAACAAGAAAGGAAAAACTGTATGGCATAGGAGTTGAAGAAAAAAAGAAGACAAAGCGGCCATCGTTATGAAGTACTTGTTGAGGGAGCAGGGGCTCTGACCAGAAAAGGAATAGAAAATAAAAATCAAAATCACTTCCAACGTGAAATTCTAATGGAAAATTTTTCACTCAGCTATCTCAACATACACCATAGGTCTTCCTTCATGTTTTAGTTTTTGAGAAAACTATTACCTGAACAAACAACATAGAGAAAATAACAAAAGCTCCTGTGTGTTAAAATTATCAAATATGCTGAAAACCAAACTACATAGATGGTTCACTTACAAAAGGGAGAAAAAATACATGGATAAACAAATTTTTCTGTCAGAAAATAACTTACAGGCTCTTGAGAATATTTATGAGACATGCCGCTTTTGAGTACTTCATTCTCGCTTTCATTTTCAAGTTCTTTGCATGATGAAACACCATTCTTCTCTAGGCTAGTAGATATTTCAAAACCACCAGACTGAAATTTCTGAATATCACAGCTGCAAGCGCGTAAATTACCACCATCCAACAAGCTTACCAGCACAATATCACACGTCTTCATCAATAACTACTTTACATAAATTAATAATTTATCAACAATGAATTCATGATTTAATTTTTATAACAGGTCATTCTTCATTGGAAAAACAAACATTTCCAGCTAGCATGAAAACATATTGTTCTACTTCCAACATACATGGGGCACAATCATCAACCAGAGAGATGTAGAGAAAAATAATTAATATTAACAGAGACGACAACGACAACAATGATAACAATAATAATAATAGAAGATTATATAATCATTCGAAATAGTCTCCCGCGCCGAGAG